AGAAGAACACACTGGGTGCCACTCCTTCCAGCTAGAATAGGAAACAAACTACAACTCACCAAATCACACAGCAAAAGACTGGAAAAACATGGATGTGGTCTGATGAGTCTCGATTTCTGCTGCCACATTTGGGTGGTAGGGTCATAATTTAGTGTAGGCAACATGAAACCATGGATCCATCCCGCCTTGGTTCACGCTGCAGGTGGCGGCCTAATGGTGTGGGGGCTATTTTCTTGGCACACTTTAGGCCCTTAGTACCACCTGAACACTGCTTAAATGCCACAGCCTACCTTAGTGTTCTTGCGGAGCATGTCCATCCCTTCATGATCAGTGTAGCATCTTCTGATGGCTGCTTCCAGCAGGATAACACATCATGCCACAAAGCCATCTGTGAGGAAAGTTTCCAGCACCTTGCTGAATCGATGCCACGAAGAATTAAAAAGAGTTTTGAAGACAAAAGGGGTCCAACTCAGGTCTAGCACCTAATAAAGTGGCAGGTGAGTTTTTATTATATTGATTAGCATAACCGGTTCACTTTAAGCGTTTCCTGTTTAGTTTCAGTTGCTAATCGTTTATAAATATGAATGTTTTCAGGTATCTTAAAAAAATAATAAATTACAATCTTGGTTACACACACTAACTCTGAGATTTGCATTTGGTCTTATTCACATTGTAAACCAACCTGGAAAATATTAGAAAAAACCCCCAAAACACATCAGCAGGCATTTCTGGACCCTGCTAAAGCAGGGTTGCATGTTGTTGCCATTTTATTAACTCTGGGCTACTTAACAACCCCTTTGGAAAAAAGGATAGGTCATACACACACACACACACACACACACACAAAGCAACACCCAGCAGACACAGCTAGTTTGTTTTTAATTTTCAAATTTATTCATTCTTCAAATTCTATGTCATGGTTTAGTGTGTTGGCAGAATTCTACATTGGTTTGGTGGATACAGTAACTCAGGAGTGATAACAAGAGTGTATCTGTGACTTGGTTTGAATAAAGCTTATACACAGAGAGGGAGCATCTCCAGGCAGGCTAACAGAGGTCTTCCTCTTCCCAGACACGTCTTATATTGCTATACTAACAAAGGCACATGGACAAGTTTGGGTTAACAAACACCAAAAAGCTTCTTCTCCCCAAAACGTTTCACATCATCAAACCTCGTTTGGCTTGAGTCGCTCATTTAAAACACAACAAAAATGGACATTTACATCTCCAACAACATTTAGTACGACACCATAACGTCATATTAATCATACAACACATAATCACTAGAAATCAACAGGGCCTTTGGCTAATGCACACAGCAGCAGCAGCAGCAGCACTCAGAGACAAAGTTCTGACATCAAGTGGAAACATTTTGGAGCTGCTCTCAAAAGTTTTCCAGAGCAAAACCTTTCCCCCATCTTTGGTCTCAGCTGCAGGCTTCAGGGAGAATGAGAGGTAAGACAGGGCTAAACAGAAATGTCTGAACTGGACTACAGGATGTGTTACACCTGAACAACTTCTGCTGTGACAGTTGGCGTCAGATGGCATTTTCTTGGCCTTTCAGATGGTGTCCTGCTCTGAGAAGTCTACTTTTGTTGTCACATATGAGTGAATGGACATCATGAGGCTACAGCGAGGAAACTGTTTAGCTTGATTATAATTGCAAAGAAAAGAGTTAGCCTTCCAATAGGCTATATTGGAGATATAAAGCTCAGAGTTACATTCTGTCTTCATTAACGATTACAAAACCAAATGTGTAGGAGGGCTTTTAACAAACAAGATATCCTGGAAATTTCCCATAAATCAAACCAAAGTCTTTCCCACAAACCAGCCCATTATTCTCTCCTAAATCAAGCTGGATGTAGCTACATATTTACAATTAAGACATGAGACTCTTGTCAATTCAATCTTCTCATCGATTAATAGCATCTTTTGGCCTTTTAACATAGCCCAATATTAAAGTACAATCACTGCTGAACCAAATACAGCTTTAAAATTTAGTCTCACAGGGCTAAAGTTATTATTATTATTATTATTATTAAAAGCCAAAATGCTGTTAGCTGTCAGACTGGTGAAAGCCTATTTAGGTGTAGTAACACCTGGTTAGTTGAGTGTAACAGGCAGTGAGGAGGGTGGAGCGGAGGGCAGACATAGTGATGGAGGGACTCTGTGGTGGTGAACAATTGGTGTGTGCTGTACATGCTGCTGCTGGTGTTAATCCAACGTTCACTGAGAGGATGGCAGGTTCCCATCTGCACTTAACTCGACTCATTGGAGCGTCATGGTTCTCACGGCGGTGAAGAGCTGTAAAACTGTTGTAAATAAAGTCAGAGAGAAAGGCACAAGCACCTAGCATCAAGGCAAACCACTGCTGCACCCTCACTTCTCTCTCCCCGTCTTTCTCTTGCCTTTACCACAAACCCGTCTCACTTACTTTGTTCTTTTCTTGCAGCATTTAAAAAACATGCTGCTGCGATTCTCTCACAATTACCTCTCTTCTTACTCAAACACTGTACAAATAAAGATTTTGAAGAGTATTCAGTAGTAAATTGAACTCTTTAAGGTATTTTCAGACACATCTGACACTAAAAAGTTTTTTTTGGCCTCAAATCTTTACCGAATGTTCGAAAAGTTCCTGTTCCTCCTCGTCAAACCTCCCAGCATCTGTCCTACATGCTGTCAAACCTTGTTCTTAACACTCCGCAACAAGATACAGCTTTAATAACTCGCCCAGTTAACGAAGCAGTGTCAGGCAGACAAAATAAAAATAAAAAAGTAAACAGGGAAAAAAAGAAAAAGAGGCAACAGCTGACCCTGACTTTGATCCACAACAGCCCCCTTCATCTCACTGTCGTCTATTCTAACACTTATTGTTTTCTTGGTCATGTTCTCATATAAAGCACAATAAACAGCTG